ATACTAAAAGGGGAAATATTTTTTCTTTTTTTAAAAAAAAAAAACATCATCATTTTATGTCAACTCTCATAAAAAAAAAAATAAAAATAAAGTTATATACGATAAATGATGAGCTAGTGCTTGTTTATCGTCTTCTGGTACTTGTGCTTGAGCCACTGAATACTCGTCGTGGCCCCCGACTTGACCTTCCGAGCACTTGAGGAGGCAATTGCTTTCGTCTTGTCGAGCTTTTCGGAAAATTTGAAAGTCGAGTTTTCATGATTCGAACTTTTACGGTCAACCGGTTGACCGTACATTGGCTTGGGGTCCCATTGATCGGCCCATGATGTCTCGTAAGAACTATTCGAAGCCATAATCGAATATCGGTTTCGAAAGAAAATTAATCGAGATTAGGGTTTGGGAAAGGAGATTAGTTACTATTGAGGAGAGTTAAGATTTTATTGATAATGTTTGAGATTGAGAATTGTGAAGAGGGGATATAGCTATTTATATACATGTGTGAAATGTGGTGAGTTGGTGGTTTAATTTTTCAAGCTATGAACATGACGCGAAATTAGGTTATTAATTTAGATCGAATTTTTTTAATATTATATGGTGTGAACATATTTTTTTTTTTTTGAATTAAATTGGTCTTAATTAGTTCAATTTTTTTTTTTTTTTTGTTTTTTGTTATTTGCTTATAGATTACTCCAACTTTTTTTTTATTTTTTATTTTTATATATGTGTCTTTATCAAATTAAGTAAATATAGAGTTGTTAGATGAAACATTTAGGGGATGCTTGGATATAAAAATTTTTGGATTTTGTGGTTTAGTTTGGTTAATTTTGAAAAAAATTGTATGGTTAGTTGTTAGTGGGTATATTAAAATAATATTTAAAGTATAATAATTGGTGTTGATTTGATATAAAAGTATGAGAGATATGATTTGAAGTGATAGTTAGTTAAATTATGTGAGTGGATGAATAGTGAATTAAGGTTGATGTGATGTGTATAAATGATTGGTTGATATTATTTAATTATAGTAAAATATTAATGATAGTGAGGCTGAGTTAAAATTGAGTTAAAAAAAGTAGTTGAGTTAAAAATGATTGGATTTTTTTGAGATAATTTTGTATCCAAGCATATTCTTAAGCCTAAAATATGAACTGTTACGTCATTTTTTTACAACTCAACTTATTAATGTTTGAATTCGAGTATCAAAAGATCGAGTTTGATTCGACTCGAATATGATTTTTTCTTTAACCAAAAGAGTGCAATTTACTTATGATAAAGGCTGTCCCTCCGGGGACATCCGATAAAATTGGAACGATACAGAGAAGATCAGCATAGTCCCTGCGCAAGGATGACACGCATAAATTGATAAATGGTACTTATAATAAAGGCTAAATTTTGAACCGCAGATAGTGACTTTATTTTTGTTTATTTTGTATTATTAGTTAGTTTTTTTAGTTGGTCAATAAATTTAAATATTTTATAACTACAATGCCATTGCATAATAAATCTAGAAGAAGGGTATTAATTAATTAACTGGTCAAACATCAAAAGGTTGAAAATCTGGAACAATCTAGACGAAATTAATGCCTCGTGATGTAAGCCCTGAAGTCATGTAACATTAATAAATGTTGGCCTATATATGATTCAATTTAAATACCAGTGTATCAATTAAAGTTATAATCGACCTAGGTTGACCTGGCCATGTTTTCAATTTTTATATTTATAATATTTTTTAAATTAAATTTGCATATTTATATTTTAAATAATTATTATATAATACAATATTATTAATATTAACATATAATAATAAATATACAAATACATATGAAATATTTTAATTTTTTTGAAAAATAGAATGTTGTCACTAAGACGAGTGGGCTTTAGTGTTAAGGCGATAGTTGGGCCTATCAAATTTAATTGCCCTTTATCAGGCTTCCCATAGTTGAACACTGAATGTTCCATCCACTGGCAGTGAGGTCTGGGGCCAACGTTATAAATGGATATTGGCCCATTAAGTAACTGGGGCCAATAATAGAGACTGGCCCATTTGATATATTTCCCATGAACACTTGAGGAGCATACTAGCCATCCACCGACATTTGTGGTCGTTAAAATTTCTCGTCCAATCATTTTGGAAACTCGTCAACCAGATCAATTTATTTACCGTGACTTTCCTATCTTGTTCAATGGCTTCAACTTAGTTCACAATTTCACACTCATGCAAAATAGTGTTGTTAAATTAAACGAGCATGACTCGACTCGACTCGTTTACAGCCCTACGGATATTCTAGTCATTTTTACTTGTGCATATCCTTTTACATACCAAAAATCCAAATAAAATAAATAAAATGAAAATGAAAATATACGGAAAGTAATGTAATGGGGATGATTGATGAACTTGCTGGGAAGCAAGTTATGAATTATTCAATCTTGGTGTTCTCTTAAATGTTCAAATCTTGACCATGTCCTCACATTTCACAGCAAAATTATTATTATTATTAATAATGAAACCTAAGTCATTTTATTTACTTTCATTTATTTATTTAAATTAGAACAATAATTAAAAACCAGTTTCAGATCTCTTTATCTACTCAGCTTCAGTTCCCAAACCTCAAAAGGGAAAAAAAAACCCAGAAAACAAGAAAAAAAATGGTGAAAAAATCCATAGCTTTCTCTCTCCTCCTAATCGCCGCCATCTTCTCCGACAGCCTCCGTCCCGCCGCCGCCAATTTCTACCCGAACATCTCCGCCATCCCTTCCTCCATCCTCCCCAACGCCTCCGCCTGGGACTCCTTCGCCAAACTCGCTGGCTGCAAGAAGGGGGAGAAAACCGCCGGACTCGACCGGCTCAAGTCATACTTCCACCGGTTCGGCTACCTCGACCCCGGCCCCGCCACAAACCTATCCAACGACCTGTTCGACGAAGGCCTGGAGGCCGCCGTCCGGAGCTACCAGCTCAATTTCAATCTCAACTCCACTGGCAGCCTCGACGTACCAACCCTTCAGCGCATCGTACAACCCAGATGCGGAAACCCCGACGTCGTCAACGGCACCTCCACCATGCGCCGCGGCGGCGGACACGCCGCCAACTCCACGGTGGCCCACTACTCCTTCTTCCCGAACCGGCCACGGTGGCCCGCCGGCCGGAGCGAGCTGACTTACGCCTTCAATCCGGCGAACCAGCTGTCGGACCAGGTCCGGGCGGTCTTCGCCCGGGCGTTCGACCGATGGTCGGAGGTTTCCACGCTGTCGTTCGTCGAAGCGGCGGCCGGCGGCCTGGCGGACATCCGAATCGGGTTTTTCACGGGGGAGCACGGGGACGGGGAGCCGTTCGACGGGGTGCTGGGGACGCTGGCGCACGCGTTCTCGCCGCCGGCAGGGAGGTGCCACCTGGACGGCGACGAGAGCTGGGTGGTGGACGGGGATTTTCTCGGCGGATCGCCGTTCTCGGCGGTGGATCTGGAGTCGGTGGCGGTGCACGAGATCGGGCATCTGCTAGGGCTCGGCCACAGCTCGGTGGAGGAGGCGATTATGTATCCGACGATATCGTCCGGTAGCCGGAAAGTGGAGCTGGCGGCCGATGATATAATGGGGATCCAGGAGTTGTATGGGGCGAACCCGAATTATAACGGGTCGGGTGTGGATTTGGTGCCCAGAGGGGAGAGGGACTTCAGCGGCG